TTATTATATATAGAGAATTCAGATGCAAGAGCTACATGATGTGATCAATTTACTTGATTAACAGCTGGTGTCACACCCTTGCAATCTTGTAACAATTCTTGTAGATGGTTAATTGTGTAATTAGATACACCTATTGATCTTATTAAACCTCTTTCCTTCAAGTCTACCAATTTGTACCAAGTCTTTGCCCTGAGGTCTGGATTCTTTGGTGAATTCTCTGGTATACCAGATGCACCAGGCCAGTGAATCAAATACAGGTCAAGGTATGTGGTGTTAAGTGCTTTAAGAGATTTTTGCACAGACCTTTCTATTCCAACTGGATTTCCGTTTTCACTTGGCGCTATTAAAAACATACAGATTTAATTCGATGATGTATTATTAAATTTATTGTTAATACACACCAAGTTTGGTTGTAATAAAAATATCGTTCCTCTGCAGATTATACTTCGGTAATAAAGTTTTCAACGCATTGCCAATATCTTCTTCGTTGTGGTAGACGACAGCTGTGTCTGTTGGAATGAAATTACAATAAAACATAAAATAATGTACTTATCTGTGAGTTACATTTCACGTACCAATAGAACGAAATCCTACTTTCAAACTTTCGTCAATCACTTCGTATATTATATCTCTCCCTTGAATCTTGTAAGTCCCGACTGAAGTAAAAATTATTTAATAAAAGAATAGTAAATTACACGTAAAACTTGCGCACTATTTTGGATATCGTAAACATACTTCCAACGTAAGGCATGACGAAGCCAGTCGATAGACGAAAGGTTTCTTCTAAGCAGCTCATAATAAATTATAATATTTTGTTCTTTAAAATCGAGAAATTAATGTGGAATTATAAATAAAATTCTGGATCTCCGGAGGTTTTCGTTCAAATACATATATAATATACGTGTGTATGTAGTTTCGTTTTATACCAACCACTATGCTCGAGGCACTCGCTAAAATCACTACAAGGAAGATTAACGCAGAGGAAGGTAGGTTGTGGTAGGTTGCGCAAGTAAAATGTCGTTTCATCAATTCAATCCATTAACTGGTCGCTTAAGACAATCCTCTCAATTACAATCTCTTTACCCATTAGTAAGTATTTACGAATGAAAGTTAAATTAAATTGATAATCGATTTGGAAGCACATTCTGCGAAGCGTTTCAATAGAACGTCGACAAGTGCTTAACTACGCTCGTTCATATTTTGTTTCTACCTGCTTTATAATTTATTGATCTTACAATTGAGTCTTTATAAGTCAAGCGCTTAAAATTCAGTTGTTTTAATAATAATGTGTGATCTATTTTATGTTTTGAGAATGAGTTAAATATATGAGGATTGTGTTGCCTGCAGGTCTTTATGTAACAGGCTCTATCAGCAAGGAATAACTCAGATGATTGACATAATTCATAAAATAATGCATTTACATCAGTTATATTTGTTACATATTTGTGTTGCAGTCTCCTAGACCGTTAGAAAAATCAGAACAAATAATGATGTACGACACGAATAAAACCAAACCGGTAACAACACCTCAACAGGGTGCTAAGCGTTTCGCTTCTACGGTAGATGCTACAGTAGCGAAATTCCAAAAAGCATACCAGGTAAATTCATGTTTCTATTAAAAATGGTATTATTTCCACTGACGACAATATTTATTTTCAAGGTTGACCCGTCAAAACCAACGTATCTTTTACGTGGCAAATCAGACAGATTGCTTCTCGGTATAAATACCGCAATTTGTGTTACCAGTTTTGTAATCAACATGTATTACATGAATGTACTGAGAAAGAAGTTCTCCCAATAATAAATTATAGAAAAATCGATTTGTGGTTTAGACGATTGAGGAAGATGTGATGTTGAAATGCAATACAATATTAGAGGTACTATTGCAAATAAATAATTATGTCTACTCTCTTCTATTTTATTCCATCCTCAAATTTTTTATTTCGATTTTGACAAAAGAAGCTGGCCCACTGTATCTCGTCTAACTCGTTTTCTTTATTGAAGGTATTTAGGACTCGTCTGTATCACTGACGCTGTATTCTTTCCAGAGGAAATTTTATAAACGTACAAGTACGGTGATTATTGGTTCTGCTTTTAATAATAAATTGTAATAATCGGATATGTCTACAAAGTGGTGCTGTTCATTTCTAGCTCTGTAAATTCTCGCGATTGATGAATCTCGAGATGATTTTTTGCTTCCAAAAATATGGTCACCTTATATCTAAGACCAGAGAAAATAATGTAATCGAAATAGCATGTAACAAGGATTACAATGACAATTAGAGACTAACGTAAAGATTTAATAAAAATTGTTGGAACAGGCAGTGTTTAGATATTCTAAATAAAGAAAAATGAATATACAATAAATAATAACCTCTTTTTAAAATCAAACATCACCGTTAGGTTGCGCCAGGTTGCGCTACCACATGTTTACTTTCGATGAGCTGTCAAAACATAGCAGAAGCAAAAATGAAACATTTATTGTTAGATAATTCGTTCACTTTCGCGACTGCGACTTCGTTCTAGTACAATAAGTATAATATTATCACTAAACGCAACTACGCAAGTTAACAGGAATTAATTCAGAATGGACGAGAATACGATATCAGCTGTGGCGTTCCACCCGATTATTTCATCGATACAAAAAATTGCACTTTACGAGACGAAATCAGTAAGATCACTTTATAAATAAAAAGTAATTTAGTTATTAGAGAGCGATGCGAAGTGCGATTTATATTTCAGAGGTTTTATTTAATGGCTTCGAATAATACCCTTACACGGTTCCGTGTATTGAAGATAGATCGAACGGAGCCAAAGGAATTAATCGTTATTGACGATAAAAGGGAGTACACCCACGATGAAATCCAGGATCTCGTAGATATGATTGACATGGGTAATCGTACGCGTGCTGGACAACGAAACAATGTTGGCGGAGTCACCAGGATTGTTTCAGCCTTTGGTATTGTTGGTAAGCAACGCTTCGATCAACCTGTACATTTTTTATATCTATTACTGATGCATGTTACATGCTTCTACAATATAAGAAATGTTTATATAAGCAAGATACAAATAATAGATACACATATATTGTTTTAATATATTAATCGTTGTGCTAGAGGTATAGCTTGAGCTTTCGCATTATGCATGTTTTATCTGTGCCTGCATGTTTCATTGCGTTCTAATACCGGGCACACGATAACTCATATATTTAATAGTATAACTGAATAAAAGCGCCGTTGAGAAATGTACAATACCCTTAGTATCTTATTTGCTTGCTAACAAAGGCAACGTTCACAAAGAATCTACACCTGAAGCTGGTGTATCAGAGGAATCTGAACACCAAGACTATCAGAAACCATTGCATAAGCCAACTCAAACTAAATTCAGCTGGAAAACGATGTGGCAGACAGACACTTTTCCCCGACTAATATCAGCTTTCGGTCTTATTGGTAAGGTCCACTGAGTTTATAATATTTCAACTCATAATGCTCGAACGACGCTGCGAATTAAAATGATCCGTCATAAAGAAGTAGAATTAATTTTGATCCGACGAATGGTCTCTATGCCATTTTTGTAATCGACTATTAAATATGCTGAGATATTACAGTATTCATTCGTTCGAAATTATATTTGCATGACGTTTAGCATTTAATCATAGAATTAAGCATGTTGTGCACTTTATATTAGATGATAATTAAGGCTTGCCATTCGACATTTATTTGTCGTTAGTACATATTAACTGAAAAATATCGACAGGTTTCATACGTTTCTTGGAAGGATATTATATAATCCTTGTCACTAAACGACGTAAGGTGGCTGTAATAGGGCATCATACGATATACAAAATAGAGGATACGTCGATGATTTATATTCCAAGCGACACTGTTCGAGTCTTTCATCCCGACGAACAGAGATACGTTAAAATGTTTCAAAGTATTGACCTTAAGAGTAACTTCTACTTCAGCTACTCTTACGATTTGACGCACACTTTGCAAAGTAACATGAGCCCACCGAAACACATCAAGTCTGATATTTATAATAACAGAGACACCGAGGATGCAGAAAACTTTTTTAATATGTGGGCACCTAAAAAGAATCAGGGTAAAAGGTATGTTATAATAATTGAGACGAATAAAATGTTTTCGAACCCAGATATTTAGTTCTACATGTTTTCAGTGATGTGGAGAAATACCTCGATTACGGAATACGAAGCAATCCGCATCGTCGGTTTGTATGGAATTCGCATTTGTTAAAACCAGTAGAGAAAGACTTGCATCCCGATTGGATTTTATATATTACTCATGGTTTTATCGGGCAGTCGAATGTCAGCATTTTTGGAAGGTCTATGTACGTAACTCTTATAGCCAGAAGGAGTAATAAATACGCTGGCACCAGATTTTTGAAACGCGGAGCCAACTTCGATGTACGTATAATTAAATTTCTTGAATTTTGTTATATTTAAATTATATTAAAATAAAAACTGTAAATCGAAGGGAGACGTGGCCAACGAAGTAGAAACAGAGCAGATCGTACACGATTCTGGGGTGAGCTCTTTGAGTAAAGGACGCTTCAGTTCGTTTGTTCAAATGCGAGGCTCCGTCCCAGCACACTGGAGTCAAGACGTTAGTAAAATGGTCCCTAAGCCTACTATCACTTGTGACTTGGCTGATCCTTACGTGGAAACAGCAGGTGCACATTTTAATCAACTCCTAAGAAGGTATGGTTCTCCAATTATAATTCTGAATCTCGTTAAGAAACGTGAGAAGAAGAAACACGAAAGTACTCTGAGCGAGGAATTGGGCATGGCTGTTAAATATTTAAACCAATTTCTGCCGCCGGAACATCATATTCAGTACATAAGTTTCGACATGGCTCGAATGAACAAGAGGAAAAAAGTGAACGTTATGGCACGATTGGGGAACATAGCGCATAACGCAGTTTTGAAGACGGGAATCTTTCAGTCTCAAGATTCATATTACAGCCAAAGAAATTTATTTTGCCTGCAACCGAATTATGTCAAAAAATTGTACAAGGCGAATTCATCTACGAAATCCAGTAATTCTGAATTTATTGGAGACAATAAAGACGATGAATCGAGTGATATCGAAAGAGCAGTAAGACAGTGCTTCGGTCAGAAGGGTACACTGCAAACAGGCATCATTAGAACAAATTGCGTGGATTGCTTAGATCGTACAAACACGGCACAATTCGCAATTGGAAAATCTGCGTTGGCTTTTCAATTGTGCGCCCTGGGAGTGTTAGGAACCCCGAAATTGGAGTTTGACTCTGATTGCGTACGAATGTTAGAGGAACTGTACGAGGATCACGGTGATATATTAGCATTGCAGTACGGTGGTTCTCAATTAGTGCACAGGATAAAGACTTACAGGTAACTAATATCATATATCATAATTTCAAATATTTGATTATTTATCTTGTCTTGTAAAAATGTAGAAAAACTGCACCATGGACCAGCCAGGGTAACGATATTATGCAAACTCTCAGCAGGTATTATAGCAATACGTTTAGCGATCAAGAAAAGCAGCATACAATTAATTTATTCTTAGGTAAATATGTGACTAATAGGAAACGAACGAAGTCGATGTAGAATTATTGAACGTATTTATTATAGGTTTATTTATACCTGAAGAAGGGAAGTCTCCGATTTGGGAGCTCTTAACAGATTATTATCTTCACCACAAACCTGCATGTCAGTATTTTCGCAGGACGAAGCTCTTAACGCAATGGTGGGACACTGCTGTGTTAAAGTGTCTACCATACGCCCTGGACGAAGTAACGAAAGCTTGTTCAGAAATAATACAAGTGCAAAATTCGATGGAAGAGATGATCGACGTTTATTACGATTATCACAGGTATTATTATGCGGCTGGCACATTTCAAAGAATTTATATATTTGGAATTATTCTTACAGGCCGTACGAATTATCGTTGCTCTCCGAAGTTTACGCGTATAAAATTAGCCACTCTGTTAGAGACTTTATGCCCCATTTCACAACCAGTTTTAGTCCGTTCGCAGTGCGGGTACGACCTGGTAGAGGAAGGGAAGAAGCCGGCAGTAAAAATCTAAACATGAAGAATCCTTCGATGACTGGGCAAAGTAGCACCAGTAGCACGACATCAAGCGCGAGGTGCTTAATACTATTAATTTTACTAAGTGTTTATCTAATCCGTATTTAATATTCCACAGTTCTAGTGACGATTCGAGTTCGGATGAGGATGAAAGTCATCACCATACTAATGATTTTCAGCTAATGATATCGAAAGAAAGTTCGGAATTCACGTCTTTCGAAGCACTATTTCCGTCTATGAAAAAAGTATATGGCACTCAACCCGAATATCCGAAAAGGAATGACGTAATTCTATATAAGAAGTAAATACATTCACTATTTTACGTAAATATAATGATGTAATAGAAGTTTAATTTGAAATGTCTTTGATAGATTTGCATTAATTGGTCGCAATGCAACTCATCCTACGGATTACATGAAGTTACGTTCGAAATTAATTCAACAAGCATCATTCCCTGAAGCAACAACTGCAATAGTTGAGCTACCAACAGTAAAACAATCTAGTATAAAAATATACGAGCAATATGTTAAAAGAGCTAAGGTGAGTGTACGAATTTCATTGTTTCATTTCATATAAAACTTTATATTGAAATTATACCAATTTTCTAGTCTGGTGGTTCAATACCAAATGCTAATGATATGAATTTGTATGAAAGTTACGTGAAGCAAAAACAACTGTTGAACAGACCCATATTTTCGAATTAAGGTAAACACATGTTTTATATTTTTCTAGTCAAATAAACTGAACAAGAGGAAAGTCCTGTAGTTACTTAGGTGTGTCCTTTATTATAACCATTTTTAAGAGGTGTATATGCTTGCAAAGAGAGCAAGCAGAAGTAAAGCATGTATGTCTCTACTTCAGCTTCTTCTTGGGTCGGATATTATTTGTATGTCCACATTTCTTCTTACGGCAATTAGTTGCACGGGGGTGAAGCCGGGCATAACATTTCCTGCAGATCATCTTGTCGCAGTTGTACTTCTGTGCAAGAATACGCAAAGTAGGTTCGATGACACCACCACGAAGTCGCAGAACAAGATGTAACGTGGATTCTGTTAAAAACACACAGTATGATTATTATTTCTGTTTACAAAGTAGAAATATATTTGCGATGTACCTTTCTGAATGTTATAATCGGAAAGGGTGCGTCCATCCTCCAATTGCTTTCCAGCAAAGATCAAACGCTGTTGATCGGGTGGGATTCCCTCTTTGTCTTGAATCTTTGCTTTCACATTCTCGATAGTGTCGGAAGCCTCTACCTCGAGGGTAATCGTTTTACCCGTCAGGGTTTTCACGAATATCTGCATCGTGGCGGTTCCTAATTGCCAAAATGAATAGTGTACATTTATCGAGTACTCGTAACGTAGAACTGATACAAATCGCGTGACATTTACTCGTCGATGTGCCGTTTGACGATCAATTTATCACGTTTCCAAATTCTTCGGTTTTTCTATAATTTCCAACATCGAGTTTAATGAAATGTGCAGAAATGACTAGAAAATTTCACAAATCGACATTTCGTTTGTAAACGAGTGTGCTAGCAACGTATCGTGCCGCAATTGTTTTTGAAACCCTTTTGTTTAATCGTTCGATTACGAAGCTTGGATCATTAACAATTATTAACCGACTTGCAGAACGCGTGTAAGGAAAACGTTTTACCTCTATAAGGTTCTATTAATTTATTAAAAGTCTAAGAAATATTGCGTACTTACTGTCAGCAAAACGTGCACACGACGAAAACGCAACCTAAAAAGATTTCAGATGGTGGCAGCAGTAGCACTTCCGTTCGGACTATCCCTCTAGCGGCCAACTCGTTATGATTCGAATATCAGTGTTCCTAAGTGCGTTGTGCAAGACGTGTGTTAATTAATAAAAACCTGTGAGTTAATTATTCAAAAGTGCAGGCGAAAACGATTAACAGCGATTAATTACAGGTGAGGCTTATACATAAACACATACACATAACTCACGGTTAGCGATTTTGAACACCATCTCTAGTACATAAGTATATAAGTACAACAGAGGTAGTTCTTTGAGAAGACGCAGATTGCATGTCTTAGGCCACGGTTATATGCAAATTTTAGTAGTAACCCTTAAACTTTACACTCTGACCTAGCTGCTCACCTGCCTAAAGGCCTCGCAATTAAACATTGTTCTACAGCATCTTAGAATCTATACAAATTCTGCGGGAAAAATTTCGTAATTTTTTTAACCCTTCCTCTGCCGCCATGTTTATCTTACGACGTAATTCAAATTACAAAACGAAATATTGTTGATCAGTCGTAAAAGTTATAAGATCTTTGTTAAAAGTCTAATATGTCTAAAAACTGCGTTCAATATTTGAAGCAATGAACTTTTAGAAAAAAATTTCGTTTTTCCTCAATAACTCCTAAACCGTTGGAGATACGGAAAAATTGCATAAGACCTTTCTTGTAGAGGCCGCCGAGATCTACAATTTCCATGTAAAAATTCTTCGCTATCGTCAATAGTTTACGAGTAATTTGCGAAAAACTGTTTTTTCGTTTTTTGTTAATAACTCGTAAACTATTAATGCTAGCGACAAACTTTTATATGGAAATTGTAGATCTCGGCGGCCTCTACAAGAAAGGTCTTATGCAATTTTCCCGTATCTCCAACGGTTTAGGAGTTATTGAGGAAAAACGAAATTTTTTTCTAAAAGTTCGCCGTTTCGAGGCTGGGATGCCAAATAATCATATGTAACTCGTTAAATATTAACGCTAGCGAAAAATTTTTACATGGAAATTGTAGATCTCGGCGGCCTCTACAAGAAAGGTCTTATGCAATTTTCCCGTATCTCCAACGGTTTAGGAGTTATTGAGGAAAAACGAAATTTTTTTCTAAAAGTTCGCCGTTTCGAGGCTGGGATGCCAAATAATCATATGTAACTCGTTAAATATTAACGCTAGCGAAAAATTTTTACATGGAAATTGTAGATCTCGGCGGCCTCTACAAGAAAGGTCTTATGCAATTTTCCCGTATCTCCAACGGTTTAGGAGTTATTGAGGAAAAACGAAATTTTTTTCTAAAAGTTCGCCGTTTCGAGGCTGGGATGCCAAATAATCATATGTAACTCGTTAAATATTAACGCTAGCGAAAAATTTTTACATGGAAATTGTAGATCTCGGCGGCCTCTACAAGAAAGGTCTTATGCAATTTTCCCGTATCTCCAACGGTTTAGGAGTTATTGAGGAAAAACGAAATTTTTTTCTAAAAGTTCGCCGTTTCGAGGCTGGGATGCCAAATAATCATATGTAACTCGTTAAATATTAACGCTAGCGAAAAATTTTTACATGGAAATTGTAGATCTCGGCGGCCTCTACAAGAAAGGTCTTATGCAATTTTCCCGTATCTCCAACGGTTTAGGAGTTATTGAGGAAAAACGAAATTTTTTTCTAAAAGTTCGCCGTTTCGAGGCTGGGATGCCAAATAATCATATGTAACTCGTTAAATATTAACGCTAGCGAAAAATTTTTACATGGAAATTGTAGATCTCGGCGGCCTCTACAAGAAAGGTCTTATGCAATTTTCCCGTATCTCCAACGGTTTAGGAGTTATTGAGGAAAAACGAAATTTTTTTCTAAAAGTTCGCCGTTTCGAGGCTGGGATGCCAAATAATCATATGTAACTCGTTAAATATCGAAGTTAGAAGAAAAATTCATAGAATCTTTCTTGTTGAGGACGTCAGGGCTTATAATTTCTGTATAAAAAGCTTTCTAAGGTACATAAACTTTTGGGATTGACTGTATAGCCAATACATCCTTAAAGGATATTCAGATTCTGGGCTTCTTTCTAGTGTTGGAACACGGAACGTAGTTTATTAACTTTGTTAATAAGTCGTGCGCTTCATTTATTGATAAGTGAGAGCATTATTTGGTAAGGATTTGCGAGCCAGCAGTAAGTGGCAACTTTCCAGACAGGCCGGACGATTCGTCAAATTTCGTCCGCGTCCTTGCGATTTCTCACGGGTATATGCCCGTAGAATGCGTTCCATAAACTCGAATGAGTTTTGTGATACTTTGAAGAGGTATAGGAAGTTTTATGATACTCTCTGCCGCGTTGAATGCCTTTGCATTCGTTGAACGCGAATCCCTTTATATCACCTAAGTCGTGAGGCGGCGCGTTTCGTGTAAGAAGGTAGATAAGAAAGAAATACGAAGGTAGGCGAGGGAAATGCGTAAAATGTATCATAAATTTTCCGATAGTGGCGTATAGGCCATGAAATCGTTGACAAGGCTCAATCCACTTATCTATTTACTTTTATCGACGTCTTAAGATTGCTAACACGGATCTTGAGAATAATGAAGCGCGTCATTTAATAAACAATGCAGTTGCAGAGATGTTTTTCTTGACGAAATGTCAGCCAAAGTATGTCCGAGTAATTAGTGACACTGTTTCAAATATTTGACACAGTTTCCTATCGATGTGACGCACGACTCTCACAGATGAAATCGGCTAGGTAGAACGAAGCAACAAAATTGCTTTTGTAATCCGTTTGGAGATTGCTTCATCGGGCTGTTCCTGTTTTTGCACGATGTAACGGGGAAGTTGTAAATCTACATCGGAGCTTGATATCGAAGTTTCCTCATTATAAATCCGTCGCTTTCTCTACACCAGATCGTACACATCTCGATTCGTTATATTGATAAATCGCGTTGGAGGAAGTTGTTCCGAGTTGTTGAACTGTAATAAAGTTAACCGGAGTCTCAAGGCTATTGTGGAAATTGAACGGTAACTGGATTTTGGTTTAGATGGACCAGCTATGCCCGGGAATACCAATTAGCGGTAATTTCGCCGACGAACAGGACGAATGTTAATACCGAGAAATGAATTGCAATTAATCCGAGCGTTAAAATGCAACTCTCGCTACACGATTGCATTTGTATTCCTCTTATACAGGCTGGTTCACCAAATATTACCTAATCGATTTTCGTCGTTATTATTATATGTAGCAAATAATGTTTTATACAATGTTCAATGGTTTCGTATTTCTTCTATACATGTTGGTTCACCAGATATTACCACCTCGATTTTCGTCGTTACTATTATATGTAATACAGAATGCATTTACATGTACTTTATGTACTTACATGTACTTAATTTTTACATGACTTGCCATACAATCCAAAAAACCATACAATCTCATTAAAAAAAATGTTGACGACCTTCATATCTCTTCTGTGTGTCCACCTAGGTAGTTCACAATACCAGAACGTGTCTCTCTCGAAACCATTCTATATGTTCTTCGCTATGGACAATAATAATGACGAAAATCGATGTGGTAATATCTAGTGAACCACCCTGTACACATGAATCACTTTATGACAGAGAAGTGAAGCGACTTGTATATTTCCATCAAACGTGTGATGACTACTTTATAACGTGGCTATCGGACAGAATAATATCGACACGGAAACACTATAAATTCACGGGGAACGCTGGCGCAGGTCGTATCGTATCGTGGCTCTGACGTTCGCGCGAATGGCCTTTATTTACGGAACTATCGGTTGAGTTTTACCCTAGTATTTACCTTCCCCTCCGAAGAACAGCGGATGTTCAGCGCAAACGGTACCGGCGCGGCCCGATGTCGTCATTTCTGGGCGCAATTGTTGTTGCTGCAATTGCAGCTATGACACTTGACCGCTCGCGCATTAGTGGATATCTGTATTCCGTGTCCGGCCGCGATTTCCATTTACACGCGGCGCACGCTACTGTGTATACTCTTATCCTTAAACGTACGAATTAAACGGTAACAATGCCGCGACGTTATCTCCGGAAATTTCGAATGGGCGGTCGATTAAGCGCGACACTTTTGGCTTTATCGAAAAGTTCCGTATCGTAAACCCGGCTTGTTAATGAATTCCCTCAGGCGGGATCGCCTGTTCGTTAGAATAGTTAATAACGGTGACATGGATCACGCGCAAGTATCACCCGCGGCAGCCTAACTATGCTCGCGTTGACATTAATGAGAGTAACGTGTTCTTGTATGCGACAAAGGTTTGTCCCTGATCCCTCTTCCCCCGATATCCTCCGGACAATCTGCCACAAATTGTAATCACGCCTGAGTACTTACCATTTACCCGTTTTACATTTTTCTCATATTCGTTACAGAACTTTGGTCGGAGTGTAAGGAGACACGGCGGCACGTGAATATTCGTCGGATGAACGCAGCCGCTCATCATCGTCTCTATCCCGGACACGTAGGCAGGTGAGTTTACCCCTGAGCAAACTAATAATGGAAAAGCCCGTTCGAGTTAGTAAGATCATTAAACTGGCGGTACCCGCGATACACCGCGCCGGCTAAAATTGAAGTCTAACTTGAAGGTGAACTCGTCCAACTACGGTTAACCTTTCATGACACTTTGACCTCGACTCGCGTACCCCTTTTACGGTTGAACCTCGGTTGCCGGATCGAAAGTCGAATCTATCGATTATGTCGACGCGGTGCCTAACGTTCCTCCGCAACCTTTTGTACCCTTTTACCTTTTGTTCTTCGACTTACGGCCTCCGCCGCAGACCCTCCGGCTCCCGCCAGCCCCATCGGCGAACGGAATCGGAGAAGTGCAATTAAAAGTTGTTACCAACGTGGCCCGAAATGAGATTTAATCGTGGTTGTGCTTCTTAGCCGTAATTAGAGATCATTGATGAGTGAACGCGTATATCCTCTTTTATACCTCGAGTCCCGATCCGACTCGTAAGTTTCCGCGCAATTTATCATTCTCCGTCTATTCGACGGGCTGTCCGTTACATTTACATTAGGATTTCGTAAATCACTGTTCATCGATGGAAAATCAAAGACGCTGTGAGTTATCACGTCGCCATTATTCACCACCCGATGTTTCGCGTTTATTGAAAGGTCGAGTGGAAATAATAACGATGGACAGTGTTAATCCCATTTGCGTTGCCAGCGCGAGGCCTCCCATACCGCGCGAGCTTCGATAAGGGGCCGACGAATTTCCGAGTTTTATCGGCGCCGTAAAATTTATACGCGCTTACATACAAATGAAAATTCCTTTTATGCAATCCAACCGATAATAACTCGGCCGCGAGTATATCAGTACCGCGGAACGAGTGCGAAACGCCTCGAAATAAAACGTTTCCATCGGGACTGGCTGGTTTCACCTCCTCGGTTATTCACGTTCTGCCCGTTCAGCCGAATCCGTCGATTCTCTTTAAGCCCGATTTTTATCGTTCCCGACAATAACTACTTCTCTTATTATAAAAGATGCACGGAAAGAGAAATAAAACGGAACGGGCATCCCATATTGCGCCGCATGCTCTGCCGTACAATAAACATGCTTGGTTGCGATTCCGCCAGAGTTTGCATGGGAACGTGGGTGAGGGGGGGTTGCTGGTCGGATTCTTTTCTTCCGCATAGTAAAAAGTGGATTGATGGCGGGCATCGCGTAGCGTACGTGCGCGGGGAGGGCGGACGGGTACGTGCAGTTTCGAATGCGGTAGGTGCAACCGTGCAGGTAGGACACGCAATGCAGTTTCGTGGAAATTAGGTCAGTGAGTTTTCGGGTTAGACAGAGAGGGGACGGGACGGGGCTGTTTGAGAGAGGAAAGAACGAGGGGACGGTAGCAGGGGGAAAGAGGAAGAAACTAGTTGTGTAGGAGAGCTCGGGGTAAGAGGGATCGATGAACAGGGAGGGAGGGAGGCTGGGAAACGAACGCGTAACCGGAGGGTTGCTGGACCAGGGTTAGAGGTTGTCGTCATCGCGGTGGGTGGGGTTGCGGCGAGATATCGTGGATCAGACGGCGCCGGGAGAAGGACGTACCGCGAGTTTTCGGGCCGTGCAAGGGAAAAAGGGAATAAATGTATGTAAATTAAACGTCCTCCGACACTTTATTTAGTGCGAGAGTTTAAAGGAGCTACCTTGCCTCTCGCAGACTCGCTGAATAAGAAAGTTTTCGCTGGCTCGGCGGACAGAATGAAAAGAAGATACATACGTATGTGTGCGCGTGGTCGTAGTTCGTACGGTTTTTATTTCGTTACGAAGTATTCGATGTATTTAACGTTCGAGCGGTGCGAAATGTCGCACCGGTCTAACCGAACGTGTTCACGGTATTTTTAGCCCCGGTCCGCGATAACGGCGCGACACGAAATTCTTTCAGCCTCTGTGCTTGATTCATTACCGAGTAGAGCATTATAGTGGTCTGTAATTAACGTTCCGCGACGATGAATAGAGCGGGCGCCATTCGAAACCGGTCCGGGACGGATAAAACGGTCCCTTCTTCCTTTGATTCCGGCGAAACCAGGCCGGAAGTCAGCGGTCGCGCACCCGCTTCCGGTTCTAAACCGCGGTGCCTGACTCTCGCGTTATTTCATCTTTCACACCGTGAATAGCCGGCCCATCCGCGGCGCAGCTGCAATGTCGATCGCGATAGTATTGTAACGAATCGACGAATGATCCAACGTTGCAACGTTTGCAAAGGAAATCTCATGGCCTGAATGGGATTCAATAGATTTTTTTTACAAAATTGTAGCTTGTGAGGTAGATGGTCCAATTACTGCTCAGTTGAACATAAAAAACGATGTATGAATGAAATTTTATAACGAAAAGTAGTTTCGCAGAATTTAATATATGTTTAGATGATTAAAAAAATTCCTGTGAAACGCAGGCTCGTACACATCTCTAATATCTGCATTTCCTCTCACTTTCAGTCAGAATTTAGTGTTCTTATTTCTACTCACCCATGTCTGTCTTTTATTCAAGTCACGTCTGTTTTTACTGAGAAATCGTCAAGTATTTATGTTACTAAAGGGGAGGGTGTAAAATAATCAACAATAATTATTTTGATTTTGTTACGTTTATTTATGACTATTTTTGTGTACAATGTTAATTCTGCAATTTCCTTTTTAATTCTTATTGCTAATGGGTCTAATTGTATTTCCTTTACGAATTTCCGATAAGTTATTACTTAAAAACAATGCAGATAAATATGTATATTCATAGTTACAACTTTCTCTAGTCAGAACATTAGCGACAGCTTATAATAGCATGCATGCTGTTATTCACGTTCTCGTATTAAAATAAACGAGTAACGTAATTTAACTTTTCCATTATAAAAGTACACATTTCCTAAACACTGCGCGCACCTTTGGTACACTAAAAGTTCCTTTGCGTTGTTTGAAGTCCTTAATTTCGCAGTCACGTAAGGTAAATGTCCCAATTTCTACTCACTGGCGTATTTTTTCATAATTTTACATGTTACCGTATAATTATAGAGAAACAAGCTAGTGAATAGAATATTTTATATTAAAATTATAGAAACATAGGACAGTGAACAGAATTTCTTATCTTAAAATTATAGAAAAATAGCCCAGTGGATAGAAATTGGGATATCTTCCTGATTGAAATTTTTATCCGTTTAAACATTTGTTACTTGCACCGTTTACTTGAAATCAGGCGAAAGAAATAGCAACAGTTTAATGGTAGAAGGGAAGAAAATTGATGTTGGTAATAACCATTATGAGACATAAAACGTGTCGTATTATGGTATTAACGGTGAGTTCGCTTTATCGGGACAGTACCTGCGTCACCTTCACCTCATTCTAGTTCCGTACCAGTATTTGTACAGCAATTGATCTAGGTCGCGTTATTATCGCACTTCTTCCAATATCCGTGTGCACTAATGTGTTTCCGCGGGAGAAGAAAAACGTTGCCCCGGTAAGTAAATTTCAACCCGGCCGCATTAACCCCGACAAAAACGTTCCGGCGAAACAAGATTCTCTACGAAATTTAATTTCGCCGTCTCAAATCCGACCTCTCGTTACGCTTGCAAACAGCGGATTACTTTTTACAAGCGAACGCGTTAACATTTCGTCGGCGTCTCACGCCTGATTGCAGCCGACTTCGTTTCCTTCCCTATCCCGTCGTCCCTTTGTGCCCGGCTGGAAATTCGGCGAACGCCACGGAGTCGCGAAGTTGCGTATTACAAGCTGCAGCCAGCGCAGGGTTTCCTTCAATAATGGACCGGGCCAAATAGTCTAATTTACCCGGCGACCGCTCCGCCGGCCTGCCTGAATATGCATGTGTGCCCGAGCCATTCACGACGGCGAAGACGATGGGAGACGACGTCGTAGACGCCCGACCCCTCGTCGACGGAAGTTACACGCCGGAAGCGAACAGACGTAGTCACCGGTCGCACTTCGCGCCCGGTCTCTCCGCTCCGCGAGCCGCGTGCGTGCACGGAGTACACCTCTCTTCATACCTTATTAGGCGACGCGAACATTGTCTCGCGTGCGCTCCAAATTGGGTCAGTTGACGTAATGCATCGCGTACCTATAGAAAGCATCGCGTGTGTTCTCATACTGTATTGAAATTTAGTTTGCTAGAAACATTACGTTCATCTTTCTATTTATTTTTCATACGCCTGAAATGACGTTAGATATTCTTATGCAGCTTTTACGGATAGGCTGGATATTAGGGAGTTCGATCCGGTTTGATACGTCGATAGCTTCCTCATCCGGAAGCGATTAAAGGAATCTCGATCATCGTGAGCCATATTCCAGGGATAATTCCAGGTGGTTCGCGTCGCTGCACAGATTGCATTTCCTATCGTCATCCGTGATACTGCGAAAGTATCATCTCGCGAGATTTACCTCCCGCGCGTCTTATTCCACTCAGAGGCGAGACGAAAGGATTCTAAGCAACGCGTAGGCAGCGTAGGAACGGAAAACTTACTTTTACTCTCGATTCGTTCTTCGGATTCGATTATGAACTGTAAACTAACTAAGTTAACCGTCACGGGTTGCCGGCTGCCGCGACGCGAGTTTGCGTGCCACGAAACCGACTGCAGCCACCACCGCAGAATTTCAGTCCCGGGGGCCAGCATTAAACGAGTTTCTAATATACATTCCTAACTGCGCCACTTGTGCCCGCTTGATCGGATATTCAATCAGGCTGCGCGTTCGGGAATTTATGGCACCGGGCACTCGACGATCGACCAAATTTTCCGTGGGAATGTTGCCGCCGTCGTCGCGCTGGTTAAGACAGTCTTTTTTAGACTGTCGTGCTCGTGCATTATACAATAGCGATGCACGGCCCTTTTTCATTATCCATTGTGCAAATCAATTCAGTGGCACGTAGGTACAGC